TAAAAAAAAAAAAAAAAATTATAAATGAAATTATGATAATTTTATTTTCATTTTCAATTTTACTTCAGAGCCACACATACATACCCAGAGAACTGCATGTGCCTCGCGAGCTGCAGTTTGCTGGCCCCTATACTAGTTCTATATAACTAGTAAAACTAATCTACAGACTCTAGTCAACCGTTTAACCTCTCTGAATCACTATATCTTCATACCCATTCGGGGCTGGTGACGACCTTCTAGAGTAAATAAAGTGAGATTGTTTTATTCTGGAATAAGGAGTTCTTCAAATGATGTCCGTCCCAGGAGGTGCGCTGCCTGGCCTCTCATGCTGTGCCCCTCTCTCGTTTCAGTTGCCTAAGGTAGACTTCTTTGACTATTTTAAGTTGGCTCCTCTTGACCAGCGCTGTTTCATCCAAGCTGCAGACCTCCTGATGGCCGACTTCAAAATGCTCAGCAGTCAGGACATCAAGTGGGCCCTGCATGAGCTCAAAGGACACTATGCAATCACCCGAAAGGTGCTCTTCTTGGTCTTGGTGGGGTCACACCTCTCGAGTACTTCCTGTGATAACAGAATGAAGAGTTCAGCTTGCGGAAATTGAGTTGGTTTATAATGGCAAAGAGCTAAGGAGTTTGTCAGGGTGAAGATAAATAGACAAAGATATTTGCTGGTCAGGAAGAACTGAATGAAAAGAAACAATAGAGTAGAGGTAGGGAAGTTCTGGCGGGACCATAAAGCCATGGAGGGTTATGAATTTTACTGTGTCCTGCGGGATGACTAGACTATGACACACGTGTTCTAGGGCCACTGCTTCCTTCTTCGCTTCCTGGCTTAGGACAGGCCACACCATCCCTCCTGGGTGGCTCAGTTAGTTAAATGAGGCAGGGAGGGTTTGTAAAGCGCCCAGGAACCCGGCACTGCCCAGTGAGTGCTGGCTTGCCTCAGAAGAGAGTGTGCAGCTGCTCAAAGCTCCCAGTGTTGTTCTCCACCCAGGGCCCTAACTAAGATTCCTCTGAAGGACCTCTGTTCCAAGGCTTAGGAGGGTGCTGGTCACCAGTGGGTAATGCAGACATGCCTCTGGTAAGGTCCATGGCTCTGCCCATTTCCTGGTCTCGGCCAGAACAGAAGAGTGAGCACCAGCATGCCTTCGGCTTCTTTCTCTTCCTCTCTTCTGCCATGAAATCCATTTCTCCTGCTGCAGTTCTTGTGATTCCCAGCAAACAGTGTACTTTTTTCCCAAAGAATAAATCAATGTGGAGTTACTTTAATGGTTAAAGCACCTATTGTTTCTTAACCTAGAAGAAGGTAAACCCCAGGTGAATGTGATCCCCTGCTGAGCCTAGGCCCCTTCTGCCTTTAAATTGCCAAGAAGAACCAGGCAGCTGTCAGCAAACTCCTGACTGTAGGTTAATTTTAGGTAAAATTACTCTGAAGGGAATGCAGAGTTGGTCTGAATCTCATCCCCCATGTTAGCTAAATAGGAAATGCCTGTACTGTCATTGAAAAGTGAATGAGCTTCTCCCAAAAAACTGCAACTGCAAGAAAGCAAGGGCTCTCTTATCTCGAGGCCCTGTCTGGCGCTTTACTGCTCCAGTGGTGCCTCACACCTTTTTTGAGCTGCCAGGAAGCCCGGAGGAAAAGTAGAAGGGCAGCAGCAGGAGACAACGCCTGTGATCTGGGGGGGGGGGGGGGGTCCTCATTGGCAATGTCCCTGCCAAAGGTGTGATCATCCCACAGCCCACTCATTATTTGGGTGGGAGGTTATAGGCTTTTGTGGCTCATTCCTCTTCTTCATCACCTCCTTATCTCTTTCCTTATTTCTCCAGCGCCCTTCTTCCCTTCTTCGCCCTTCTTTGTATTTTTTTATGGTGTCTGCTTGTTTTGGTGGGTAGTTTGAAATTTTACAGGGTTTTGAAATGGGGTTGGGCTGTTGGGATGAAAGTGGGGTGTTTAAGGGAAAGTGGTGTTTGGCAGAAGCTAAAACCTGGTGTGCTCAGTTATAACCGAGGACTTCTCCCTGCTGTGTGCAAATGATGCACAAGGTTCTGCCCTGTAGAAAGTGACGCTCATGTGTACAGGGACAGAGAAGGCATGCCCAGAGCTGTTTTGTAATTACAGCAATAACATGTCTGCCTTGTGTGTGCCGTGCCCCAGACACGGTGATAGCTTAGGGAAAGTGTGTTCACTGTGAAGACGGAGTCACGTTGCCCTGGATTCCTCCCCCTTCCCCCCCCTTTTTTATTACGAACATCAAACACGTATAAAAGGGATTGTATTATGAGCCCACGCTTAGCCATCACTCGGCTTCAGTAATTATCAGCTGCTGCCCAATCTTGTTTCATCTCCACCCCTACCCACTGCCTTCCTCCCAGGCTTTTGGAGCAAATTCCAAGGATCATTTTCTTTTCATCCTTGACTTGCTCAGTGTTTATCCTAAAAAGACAAGTCTTTTTTTTTTTAAGATTTTTTATTGGGGAATTGGGGGATGGGAACAGCGCTGGGGAATTGAGGGAAGGGGAACAGACAAGGTGCTGTCCTTTTGTTCTTCAGTCTAGAGGACGTTGCTTCACTGGTCCAAGTTGGCACCATCATTACGCTCTTCCCGGGCGAGGCAGATCAGTCACTGGCTTCTGGACGGCCGCTCAGGCGGCTGCTGGCCGCTCAGGCTAGCTGCTGGCTACACACGGTAGCCCATGGCAACCCACTGGAGCAGGGGTGCAGTGGCGACTCACAGCAGCCCAGCTCCAGGTTGAGCTGTTGTTCAGCATCTTAGCTGTAGAGGGCAGCGTCACTGGCCCTCATACGTGGGATCCAAACCGGGACCCTCTGGCATCCCAAGCCAGCTCTTAACCAACACGCCACTTGGCCGGCCCGACAAAGTCTTTTTTTAAAACCATAATCAAAATACCATTATCACACCTTAAAAATTAACATCATTAGCTATCCAATTAGTGTTCAAATTTCTCTGAACGTGTCAGAAGTCATTTTGACAGCTTGTTTTAGTCATATGGGGTTCCAAGTAAAATCTGTTTATTTTAGTTAGTTGATGTTATTTAAATCTCTTAATCTGTAAGTTCTCTGTCTCTCATTCCGCCAGGCTCCAGAGTCTGTGTCCATTCCTCAGCTTTTATGTCAGCAAATGCCCATTATAATGATTTTAGGTCATCCCTTAAAGGAGCTCAGGCTATTGTCATAGATATCCTAAAAATCATACCAGACTGTATCTTTGATTCAGTACCGGAGAAGGTATTTGATTTGTGAACATGAGCAAGCTAGAGAGAGAAATGCCTGACAATAGCGAAAGGAAAAATTATTCTTCAGCATCTATCGTTCCTGTGTTCTTCCTGTTAGGTTTTTTTGAGTACATACTTCGTGGTAGTTACTGGCTTTACCTTGAGAACACTGGCATCAGTAGAACACAAATTAGCTTCCTTCCACAGAGCTTTCTGTCTGTTTGAGGAGATAATAAAAAAAAAAAATTTGAACCAGTGTGATGAATATTATAAAAGAGAGGCACATGAGAGCGCTAGGAGGGTGTCATTTGAACAATCTCAAAGAAAAGATGTTTTCACTAGAGGAACAATATGTGCAAAGGCTAAGAGGCAAGAAGGCGTGTAAAAAGTAACCGTGGTGCCTTTGGGATGTGTAGGCATGAATCATAACTAGCAGGCCTCAGAAGGAAGGAATTGTGATCGTCTAACTTTATCTGGTCTGCTTAACTAGACCTTCAGTCACTATTAAGATAAGTGATGATTGTTAACATAACTGTTAAAGTAAGACTTTGGAGGCTCCTTTAACTTGTAGAAAATATTTTGTTTTAAGATACAACTTCCTGACAAGTACCAGTTTGTGTTCATGTGTGTGGATTTTTTCCTGCCAACTAGAAACATTATTTAAATAGGACCATGATCCCAGTTCACTTCCAGTCAGGAAGGTCTACGTTTTCTGACAGCATGGGGTGGTTGAAAGCCCAGTAAACTACCAGTTAGGAGCTCTGAGTTCACATCCCAGTTTCATTAGTTGCTGATAAATGACATCTACCTCTCTTATAAAATGCAAATTGCAATACCTGTCCTGCCTCCTTTCCTGCGTTTTTGCATATAGCCCTGGTTCAAGGGTGGAGTACTTTAAGGCAAAGCTTAGTACAAATTAGTAGTCTTACAGCTGAGTACAAACGTGTGCCTACAGGTTTGTAGGGAACCCCCAAGGTCGTGGGAATTCCAGGGAGAAGAAACCGAAAGCAAGGGAGGAGATACTGCAGCCATGGAGGACATCGTTGGGGAGGTAGAAAGGTAGCAAGATGAATGTGACCTTCGGCCAGCTCTCTTGATGGGCTTTCACTGAATCTGTGAACACAAGGTGATGTCAGAGAGGGGGCTTTAGTTCTGAGCTGGCTTGAGTTTAAATCCTAGCTTTAATTCAGGTTTGACTGGGGACAAGTTCCTTCTCTCTAAGCCTTGCTTCCTTCTGTCTGCTATAAAATAAATAATACCTCCCTTAAAGGGTTATCGTGAGACTTGAATGAGGAGGAAGGTCCATGCATAGTGCTTAGCTCATAGGACGTACGAGTATATGTAGCAAATGGTATTGCCTTCTGATCCCCAAACTTAGGAGCTTGGAAAGGAAAAGGTAAGATGTGGATTAAGAGGAAAGGGGGATCCTTCCCTCTTCTGTAGCTAAAATATCTTTTGTTGTCCTGCAACAGGGACACACACCTGTTTCTCTAAGATAAATAGATCAGAATGTGATTTATTAGCAGCATCCTTATAACACACATCCCCGTAACCTTTTACCCAGTAAATGAATATTATGTACAAAATATGTGAGTGGCTGAGGGTACACCTTAAGCTGTGGTAACATCCCTGTACCCTAGAGGCTAACAGTCCAGTGGAGGAGATAACATGAAACAGCATCAGACAAATAAGTGTATAATTACAACTGTGATGGGTGTTTTGAAAGAAAAATGCAAGGTGCTTTGAAAGAGTATAACAGGAGGACCTAAAGTAGACTGAGAGGCTCCGGGAGGGCCTCGCTGAGCAAGTGACATTTAATCACAAACCTAAGTGTTACATAAGTGGTTCAGTCAGGGGGTGTGGAAGACGACAGCATCGTTTCCTGGGATGTGGAATAAGAGCTAATTTGTAAAAGAGCTAATTGGAGTGAATTCGGTCTGAGAAACGTTGAGTTACCAACATTCTGAGTGGAGCCTGTGAGACATCCAGAACATCCAAAGGTAATTTACTGGGTGGTTGAATGGACCAAAACAGTTGGAAATAGGGACTAGAAAGGGATTTTGAGAGTCATCAGCTTATGGAAGGTAACCTCACCAGCCTGGATGAGGTTCTTAGAGAGACTGGTGAAGAGAGAACCAAGGCTGCCTTGAGGACTTCCAGCAGGTCAAGACCAAGTAAAGGAGATGGTGGAGGTGGAGCCGTGCAGAGAGGAAGCACGAAGTCGGGAGAGTGGAGGGGCGGCATTAATACTGGGAGGTCAAGTAAGACGAGGACTAAAATGCAGGTATTAGAGTTGGCCCCATGTTACGAAGTAGATTAGCAAGTGGAAAGGTGGGGTTCGATGCCAGATTGGAGGGAGTTGGAAAGCTCATGGGAGATGAAGTGATCAAACAATGTACAGACGGCTCCTTTGATAAGTTTGGCTGCAAAGAGGAGGAAGAAGGAAGAGGGGCGGGTAGCTGAAAGGGGAGGAAGCCAAGGGAAGAAAGGGTTTTGGATTTTTTTTTTTTAATTGGGGAATTGGGGGGATGGGAACAGTGCTGGGGAATTGGGGGAAGGGGAACAGACAAGTTGCTGTCGTTTTGTTCTTCAGTCTAGTTGTGGAGGACGTTGCTTCACTGGCCCAAGTTGGCACCATCATTGCGCTCTTCCCAGGCGAGGCACGTCAGTCGCCGGCTTTCTGGACGGCCGCTCACTGCGGCTGCTGGCCGCTCACGCTGGCTGCTGGCTACATACGGTAGCCCATGGCAACCCACTGCCACAGGGACTGCAGCCTATGCCGTCGCCGGCGACTCATGGCAGCCCAGCTCCAGGTTGAGCTGTTGTTCAGCATCTTAGCTGTGGAGGGCAGTGTCACTGGCCCTCATATGTGGGATCCGAACCGGGGCCCTCTGGCATCCCAAGCAAGTTCTTAACCATCGCGCCACTCGGCTGGCCCGGGTTTTCGATTTTTAAGAAGACTTGAGAACATTTAAATGCCCATTGGAAAGATCTAAAAAAGGGAGAAGCTAAAGGTATGGAAGAAAAGAGGAAAGGGACTATCACTGGCAGAAGAATTTTGCGCTGCAGTGTGCTGTACAAAGTGGGGGGATACAGGTGAAAGCAGTGAGGAATGTGGGGAGTGGACGAGGGAGAGCTGACCAGAGCAATACCATGTGAGATATGCCTGTGAACTGTAACTCGCTCGCCGGCCATTTGTCATGTGATGTAATCTGTACTCATTCAAGGACAGCTTGAGCAGTTTCTGTTTTTGTATGTCGCCCTTTAATTTTTCAGTAAGCATTTTGGTTCTGCCATTGCAGCAGTCTATGCAAGTTAGAAAACAAAAATAATGAAATGTCATCTATTTACTTTACCACTACCTATTTCTGTAAGACGTGCGGGGGAGGTAGCTGAAACTGTGAGTCAAAATGAGATTTGGAGATTGCCTGTGTTTCATGTATGCTTGTGTCCCATCTACAGTGGTAACCTTACCCTTTCTCAATTTTTAGGCCTTTTCTGATGCCATTAAAAAATGGCAGGAACTATCGCCAGAAGCCAGTGGAAAAAGAAAAAAGAGAAAAGAAATGAATCAGTATTCTTACATAGATTTCAAATTTGAACAAGGTAATGGCAACCTGAGTGTCACTGACAGTATGTGAAGCTACTATGCAGAGCTGTCCCCTCTTGCGCAGCCCGTAAGGGACATTGTGGTACAGCTGCTTAGGGAATGTCTTCCAGACCAGTTCAAGGAGTGAATCCAACGTGGGCTGCTTGGGCGACGCGTAAATATTTTTAGAAAGTGGCTACAGTTGTCATCTTCCTTCTTTCTGCTACTTAGGGTACACCATGACAGGCATATTTAGTGCAGTATTAGAAAATTCATGCATGGAGAAGTGCTGGGGGACACTCTTAAGCCTGGGAAAAACTGGTCTTGGGTGTCTGATAAAAATTAGCTTTATCACTAGTAAAAACTGCCTAGGCCAGTGATTGATGGCTTACTGCTGAGGGGTCACTTACACACTCCTCAGAGTGGCTTCTCGGAAAAAAACAAGCAGCTCTGAAGTAGCTACTGTTTATTTAAAATTCTGTTATTCTTGCTGATGAAATAAGTGCTGCAAGTTCTTCCAAAGAGGTTAGTTACTTCAGGTCTAATCACACCCCAAAAGGTAAACTTGTTGATTTTTACAACAAATTTCATCTGAGTTGCTTGTGTCCAGCAAGAGTCCACTACAACTTTTCCTATCGATTATGTCATAAAAAGGAATATTTTCCTTTACACAGTCTTTCTGTTACATCTGTACTTGAATTTCAAAACTCTTCAGGACCTAAAAGAAAATGGCCTAGGCTCTGACTCCTAAGGTCCTCAGGCTAGTCCGTGGAGCAGTGCTCTCCTGGTATGACAGGTTTCACGGGTCTGGCAGAATGAGAAAGTGGGGACAGCATATAAGTGGTGTTTCATTTAGTTGATTTTATCCACACTTTAGACTTAAGGCATCCCTAATATCTAGTCAGTCTCTATTTGTTCTGACTTTCAGTGGTAGAGAAAGGAAAAGAACCACTTTGTAAGAAGATTCACTCCCTTGTTGGTCAGCTCTGTCTTTTAGCAAGTTCTCCTTTTATATCAAGCCAAAAGATACCCTCCTGAAATTGCCTACCGTGGTTGTAGCTCTTGCCTTTGCAAAGCCTTGGAATCTGTCTGTCGCTGCTTCCTGATTTTCCTTCTCTGTGTGCCCTTTTCTAGCTTGTTGGTATTTCTTTGAAAGCTTGAGTGTACCAGGTTGGACACAGCACTCCAAGTGAGGTTTGCTGAGTAAAGACATCAGCTGGGATTTAGATTCTGTACTTAAATTAAGTCCATACAGCCTAAAATGCTGTAGCTTTTGAAAATCAAAATATGTCCCACCTTTGGCTCACATTATTAAGCCTTGGTCTTTTCACCCACCTTGCTTTTAAGTCATAGACCTCTCACAGTTGTCCTGCATGTGACATTTTCCCATGTTAACTTCATCTTATTGGTTCCAGCCCATTGTTTCAGGTATATCCCTTTAATTTTAGATTCTTATTCTTATGTTCCACTTATTAGATCATCTAGAAAATATGCTTGATGTACATTAATAGTTTAATATTTGTACATAACCTTTCTTGACAGCAGTTTATAAGCACATAGGCTCAGAATCCTTCGTCTGTTCCAGGAATCCCACCCTTCACCTTTTCAGCTTGTTTTCTATCCAGTCACTGCTCTTTGAGCTATACATTGCTTGACTCAGAGAGAGAGGATTCTCCCTCAGTGCCCTTTTTATGGTCCTAATGAGCTGACCACCAACAGCTCTCATGAAGAGTCTTCTTAGAATTTGGATATAAACAGAGTATCAGTGAAAATACAACATATCACTTCTAGCAAGGCTGACCAAGAAAAAAGAGGAGACACAAATTTCCAGGTGTTGATGAGGACATGGAATGCCTGGAACTCACATGCATTGCTGGGAAGGAAAGTGTAAATTGGAACAACCACATTGGAAAACTGGCACCGTTTCTCTAAAGCTGATCCAGCAATTCCATTCCTTCCTGTATGTTTAACTGAATTATAGACATGTTCAACAGCCCTATTTATAATAAGCCCACCTATCCTCAATAGACTAGAAATAAACTGTTATATTCATGAAGTACAATACTGAGACCCTCCAATTGGAGCATAACGGGGGGGAAAGACACGAAAGTCAAGAAGTGCATGGCAGGTTAGAGAATGATACAGAGCCCATTTTTCCCAAATGATGGAGCATGTTAGAAGAACACAACATGCTGCTGGGAAGCGGGTGGGGCCACAGGAGACTGGCATGGCTGCCCTGGATTCCTAATCGTGCAGTTGTCTGCATGATTTTGCATTGTCATATCTTCTAGGTGACATAAAAATAGAAAAGAGGATGTTCTTTCTGGAAAATAAGCGGCGACATTGTAGGTCCTATGACCGACGCGCCCTCCTTCCAGCTGTGCAGCAAGAGCAAGAATTCTATGAGCAGAAAACCAAGGAGATGGCAGAGGTAGGAAGATGTGCTCGGAGTGCGCTTCCGGGGTTCTGGTTTGCTTAGTATAAAACTGTCTTTTAAGATTTGCCTTTTCTTTTGGTGATTAATTTGAATAAACTGTAGAGTTTTTAAAAGGGTTTTGTAATGATACTGACTAAAGTTCACTGTTTCATAAATCAGATTTATGTTAGGGAATTTTAATTGGAGCTTAGCACACACGTCTGACTCCCTCAGCCTCTAATGGTAGAGAAAAACCAAGAGAGACTCCATTTAGCTCTTTAACTCAACCACAATATATTGGTTGCTTTACATGTATTTTCTAGACCAGCATCTCTGAAAAGTGACCCATGGACCCCTGGCTTCCCCAACACTCTTTAGGGAGTTCTATGAGGTCTATCTCTTAATGATAAGATTATTTATCTTTTTACCCTGCTGAATTTGTACCGACGGAACAAAATAACAGTGCCTTAGCACAAAGCAAACCACTGGCACCAAATTGTACCAGTAATTATTTTCTTCCCCACCATGCATTCACATTTTTTAAAAAGTAATGTCACCTAATGTAACAAATGACAGGTGGACAAGTAATTCGGACAGCTGCATCAAGGTAACTTCTCCCAAATTCTAATTCCTGCTTGAGATCTAGAATGTTGTCATTGGCCATAAATAACAACTTCATTCAGTTTTGAGAACATGTCTGCCAAATACCTATTTTTGAATAATCACAGTTTTTCTGTCAGTCATTTTTTTCAAGTAACAATGGTGTTCTTTAAAAAAAAAAAGTGTCTTGTTCAGCAGCTTGCAACTCAGCAGCACCAGTGGCTTCTCCTTGAGGCTGACAGTCAGGATGCAGAGGTGCTTTGAGCAGACTTCTCACTTTGTCAGTATTGAAAAGGTGGTTTTAAGGGTCAAAATTTGATAAATAATTTTTAAACTACTAAGTTATGTAACTGAAGAGATGACTATTAATAAGAGTTCTCTTATGTTTATGGAAACAAATTCTAAACGGTGTGTGGCATCTTTTACTAAAGCTGTATTTGCATGTCTGGGTTTTTGTTCCCCAGCATGAAGACTTTTTGCTTGCTCTGCAGATGAATGAAGAACAATATCAAAAGGTAGTTTGAAAACCCAACTCATTCACTTACTTTGTTATTTTTCGTGGGCTTTTTTCACTTAACCACATTTCCTTGGCATTTTGATGGCAAATTGGTTCCCGGATAACCTCCTGTTGATCTGCTGAGTTTGTGGTTCAACCAAGTTACAGTCAAGATACTTGAAACAGTATAGTCACTCTTAATACCAGATTGGATGAGAATTGAAGGGAAGATAGAACGTTCCTGTTAAGGAACACTGCCTGGAATCCATTGGATAAAGTCTTAGAGGAGAATTTAGAACTCAGATATCACACAGAGTTAGAAGGAAGAGATGTCTATCCTTAGGGCCAGGTGGGTTTTGTACCCTGTCTGCCATCCTCACATAGTGGTCTTTTCTTACCTGGTAGGGATGGACAAGTGATTGGATCACTGATTAATAAAAGAATAAGTTTCCTGGGACTCACAGGTACTTGTGATTTCTGCTTCAGTTAGCTTCAGTGGTCCCTTAAGATAAAGCTCGGGCTGGAACATGGCCTTCTCACACTCCAGTCTTATAACAAGGAGAGCAAAATCCAACTTTTGAAGCTTTGCAGATAACATCCCTCATGCCACTTGTCCTTGACTCTTATAATCATGTTAGCAGTAAAATCTGATAGCAGATGGCATAATTCTGCTGGCACCCTGGAATTTATGAACATAACTTAATACAAAGGATGGCACCAAAAAGACCCCTAAAAAACAGACATGAAAATCTCAGTATGTGAGATTTTTTAGCTATGTGGTAATATTTGTACTGGCACCTTGAACTAGATTTATGCAGCAGAAAACAGCTCGTTGTTTTATGGTTTCTAGGTGTTGCTTTTTACCTTGGGGTGGGGGGATAGGAAACCTGCTGCCCTCTCCTCGAGTGTGGGGAGTTTCACGTGTATTTCTGTTGGGCCTGCAGGATGGCCAGCTGATCGAGTGCCGCTGCTGCTATGGGGAGTTTCCATTTGAGGAGCTGACACAGTGTGCAGATGCCCACTTGTTCTGCAAAGAGTGTCTCATCAGATATGCCCAGGAGGCCGTCTTTGGATCTGGAAAGGTAAGAACTGCGGGGTGTGTCTGCAGGTAGGAAACATTCACGGGGGCTGAGGAGACTTCGTTGATAGGCAGGCTTAATGCCTTGTGGGAGTGCCTTTTCTGGAGTGAGCTGGAACTGCTAAGATGCACCAGTGTGTGTGGTTCCTAGGCTATCCCTGGTTTGTATGATTGTGTTGGTTCAAGCACAGCAGCTTTCTTTTCAAGGGGTGGTATAATCCTTCCGTGCCGCAGGAGTACCTGCTGCTCCCCTCAGCTCCCTGCTTGGAAGAAAAATGAAATGTAGGGGAGCACAAATTAGTATTTTGTAACAAAAATCTGTAAAGGCTTTTATAGTTGTGTTAAAATCAGTAACTATTTTATACAAGATCATGATTCTCCTTCTAGTCAGTGTCTCTTGACATCAGCATAACATAATATGGAAAGGAGTTTTGTTTTGTCTTGATGAATACTTAAAAAAAAACAACCAAAATTGCTTTTCATAAATGCCTGACCAATAAAAATCACTCAGCATCAATTATTCTAAAGGAAGTTGTAGTTTAATCAAGAACTGAATAGCAATTATGAGCAGAGTGGTTGTGATTGGCAAAATAATGGCCCCCCCAGAGATGGTCCACACCTGATCCCCAGAACCTGTGACTATGCTACCTTATGTGGCAAAAGGGAACTAAGGTTGGTAATCAATCAGGTGACCTTAAAACAGGGAGATTGTCCTGCATTATCCAGGTGGGCCCGCTGTGATCACAGGGGTCCTTCAAAATGGACAAGAGCGACGGAAGAGGTCTGAGTGACAGTAGAGGTCAGAGTGCTGTGGGGTGAGGACTTAGCCTGCTGTAAGTGGCTTTAAAGATGGAGTCCAGTGCTCTCTGGTCCAGCTGTTCCTGCTTTCTCCTGGAAGAGTTTTAGTCACCTGACATGATCTGAAGCAGGTAGGACCTAGAGGCTTTTCAAACAGTCCCCCAGTTTTTAGTTTATAATCCTTTCAATCCACTCCCGCCACTCACCCCTGCCTTCCCAAGAAGTCTTAGCCTCCAGCCTTTCCGGGGCTGTAGAAGGAACCAGCAATGCTGCTCACCAGCATCTTTTCAGACTGAGCTGTGAGCTTTCTCCTGTCCACTGTGTCACTCACCCTTCCCTCTCTGCCGTCCATTGTCGTGTATCGTGGTTTAGGCTGATAGAGGTCCTCTGGATGTCAAGGGTGGACTCTGATTTTGTCTCCTGGTTTCCTTGTTGTTAGCGTGTTTCTCAGAAGAGGGGACACAGAGATCTTTGTCATCTGAGAATCTATGTTCTTAACCACAATTTATTTGCCTCCAATTGAAAGATGCGTTTAACCACTGAGGCTTTCATTTTTCTGAAAACTTGGTTGAATTTTCGTTTTTTCTCTCTTTGCCGCCCTACCTTGTCATTCTAGTCAGAGCTTAGCTGCATGGAAGGCAGCTGCACGTGTTCGTTCCCAACCAGCGAACTGGAGAAGGTGCTTCCCCAGACCATCCTGTACAAATACTATGAGCGCAAAGCCGAAGAAGAAGTTGCTGCCGCCTATGCTGATGAGCTTGTCAGGTGAGTTCTCAGGGTCGGAGAGGGGCATCTTGCAACTCATTCCCCGTTAGGAAGGCTGCCTGAGCACTTTGATCAGATGACGAAAATTTTGTAACAAAGCTGCATCTTCCAAGCTTTCTGGCATTTCTTTCTGAGAAATAAAAGAATTTTATTTTATTTTTATTTATTTTTTTAAAGATTTTATTGGGGAATTGGGGGAGGGCAACAGCGCTGGGGAATTGGGGAAGGGGAACAGACAAGTTCCTGTCCTTTTGTTCTTCAGTCTAGTTGTGGAGGACGTTGCTTCACTGGCCCATGTTGGTATTATCATTGTGCTCTTCTCGGGTGAGGCAGTCGCTCACCGACCATTGGACGGCAGCTCACGAAAGCGCACGCCAGCTGCCAGCCAGCCCCATTGCAGCGTACGCCGCAACTCATGGCAGCCCAGCCCCAGGTCGAGCTGTTGTTCACCATCTTAGCTGTAGAGGGCGCAGCGTCACTGGCCCTCATGTGGGATCCAAAGGGGCCCTGGCTGCTCAGAGCTGGCGTTCCAAGCCAACTCTTAAGCAACGCGCCACTCGGTCGGCCCAAAAAAGAATTTTATTAATGGTACAATCAACAGTTCAAATTATTGCCTACATCCTTGGCACCCCTTAATCATCTGGCTTATAGGTACAAACATTGTGCTTTGGGTTGGGCGGAAAGTGACATGTGCAAGCAGTTCTCAAAAAGGTGTTTTTTTGTTTTGTTTTGTTTTTTTTAATGATTTGTACTGAAGCAGGACCCAAACTGGTACCTGGATTTCCTGGTAAGAGCCAGTACATAGGAGATCCTCCATCCATGATTTAATGAAAAGTAAGAAGTCAAAGGAGATACAGGCATCCAGCTGAAAACTCATCTTAGTATAAACAGTCACATGGGGACCACAGCAGGCTTCACTGCTCTGAGTAACATTCCCTCTGCTGTTTGGACTCTAGGTGCCCCTCCTGTAGCTTTCCTGCTCTGTTGGACAGCGATGTGAAGAGATTCAGTTGTCCCAATCCTCGCTGCCGAAAGGTAGGGAGGCACATTTTTTTTGTCTATTCATATTTGAATTACGGTATTATGGGCTGCCCTAATGGTGCAAATATCTTCTGGTATGTGTGTACTGACCCGTGAGAGGGATTTGTTTGTTCTGCTTTTCATGAAAGCAAATGAAGATAGGTATTTGAGAATGATGGTTGATGTGGTTATGGAGATGGGGGCCACTTGTGCAATTGCAGTCACAAAGCTCTAGATCCCTGTTTTATGTGCTCTTCCTATAAGGGCATTTATTGTAATGTGAAATGTGAAGAGTTTTGTGTTTCTTCACTGTGCCACCATTTTTCTGGCTTGCTTTTGTACTCAGATAGTTTCTGTGTGTGCGTGCACGTGTGCATACACACACACCCCTGCCATTTTCAAAGTCCTAATGACAGTTCTTTGATTAAAGAATTGGGTGTTGTGGTAGTGTCTCTAGTATGTGTGGTAGATTATTCACTCAACTGTTCTCATAAGAATTGGTTGTATCAGGTGAGACCAAAGCTATCCTGGCACCTTGCTACTGAAAATCTTTCTTCTTTTAACTAGACTCCTTTCTGTGAACTAAGAATGTCTTAAAATTTATCAACTTAGCGTTTTTAACGAATGTTGGCATCCACCTAGACAAGTATGTTTTAGGCCATTTTTTAAAATAGCATGATCAGAGTTGAATATTATATCTGCCTTAAAATGAAAGTAAGATATTAGAAAAAGAAGAAAGAAATTAATGGACTAAAACTTTATTCCTTTTGTTTTCAACATTAACATTTCCATGTAAAATCTGGATGGATTTTTACAACTGATATGTTTATTTAATAATTTGTCCCCACCTCAGCCTATTACTATAACAGTTGTCCCAGCAGTCTCCAGCATCTTGGAACTAAGAAAGTGGGGTAACTGCCCATCCTCTGCACTCCCAGTGTGTCCAGTACTGGGGTGCCTTAAGAAGGCATTGCCTGAGAGCTAAGATTCAGAGAGCAAGGAGGCAGTAGCCAAGGGAAGGAAAGGGTAGGAGTGACGTGAAAGTGAAGATGTTGGAATGTTTTAGGTCCAGGAAGCAGTAGCACCCTGGACACTGACTGGTACTGGGAGTGTGAAGGGAAAGGCTCATGAGCTGGGTGGGGCCAGGGCCATGCCGGCCTTGAACACCATTCTGAGGGGAGTAAAATATCAGGGAGATCTGTCTGGCAGTTTGAGTAATCCCAGTGAAGGATGTGTGTCACTGCTACCCCTCTGGAGTCTCCATGAATTGCTAAGAATGAGCTGGGAACTACGTTTCCTGATAAGATTCAAAATTAAACTCTTATCAAAAAACATCCTTGTATATGATTTGGAAGGCCAAAGAGAAGGGGAGGCATTATTTTACAAAGACCATTACAAGCAGGCGTGAGGGCACACATGAGTCTGAAACAGCATCCCATATAGTGTCTTGATCACTCAACCTGGCATGTCAGTGAAAGCCTCCCAGAGGCTCTTAAGAGCCTAGGCAGAAACACCAAATATTCTGCTTTCTCTCTGTGGGAGGAATATACATGCCCTGTTGAACTTGGAGGTGGCCCTGTGGCTTCTTTTGGCCAATGAAATGTGAATGTGGGTGAAAATGTTACTAGCAGAAAAAGTGGTAGAAACATACTTATGGATGATGTCAGCAAGATGGTGAAATTGGCAGCTTCATACCCTCCTTCCCCTGCAGAAACACTGATTCATCAGTACATCAACTAGTTCCCTTTGTGAGAAATGTAGAAACCAGTTATAGACTCCTGTACTCCAGACAGTGCAAAGCCAGCTGCAGTGAGGCCTGTAGGACATTTCATGGAACTCACGCCGCAAAGCCCACCCACCAGTACACGCAGCACAGTTGGGAGGAAACTCCTAGCTTCTCCTTGGGGAGGGAATGAGAAGCCTGGAACATACATCTAACTTGGAGACTTCTCGGAGTGTTACCCAAAGGGCTGGCTTCTATCTGTCCTGAATCTAAGCACTGATAGGAAGGGGCACCAGATTGGGGAACCACTGAGAACAAAGGCGGTGGTTTGAACTAGCACACACACACTTGCCATTGCCCCTCCTCTTGACTTAGTGTGGAAAGAATGGGAGAAAACCCCCATCCCCCAGCTTCTCCCTACGGAGGAAAAGCGTTGGATCACATGTCCAGCATTTGGCTTTTGGGGGGACTGCCCAAGCAGCTGGTTTCTGTCTTACCTGACTCAGCACTGACAGCATCCCACATATTTAGATGCCTGGAAACCTCAACAGAAAAAGAGCTGGGCCCCTTACAGGAGCTTCAGAGAACCTGCAGTACAGTAGACAGACACTAGAGGGAGCAGGAGATTACAAACTCCTGAGAAAAGAAACCAGCAGATCCGCTCTAATTGGGAATTTACACACGTAAGTCCAGAGAAGATGCATCCACAGAAAAGGTTTGAGGGGCCCCAAGAATCTTTATTGAGACTAATTGGTGAAGATCTTTCCCTGTATAAAGCCAGTCTGAAAGACTGGAGCTGTGACTTTTTTCAGATGTGTGGATGTCAACACACACACACACACACACACACACAAAAGGCACAAGAAGAAACATGGTCCAACAAAGAAACAAACTAAATCTTTAGAAACTGACCCTAAAGAAATGAGGTATGTGAATCACCTGAGAAATAATTTAAAATAATCATGAAGACGCGCAATGAGCTTAGGAAAATGGTATGTGAGATGATAAGAATGAGAATATCAACAAACAGAAAATATTTTAAAGAACCAAACAAAATTCAGTTGAAAAATACAATAAATTATTGAAAATTTTACTAGAGGGGTTCAATAGCAAACTTGATCAAGTAGAAGAAAGAATCAGCAAACTCAGAGACAGGTCATTTGAAATTGTCTAGCAAGAGAAGAAAAAAGAAAAAAGAATGAAGAGTAAGGAAAGCTTAAGGGACAGGATACCTCAAGCAGACCAGTATATGCACTTTGAGAGGCCTAGAAAGAGAAGACAGGAAAAGGCAGAAAGCTTATTTGAAAAAATAGTGACCAAATCTTCCAAAATCTGGGAAGGAAGTAGACATCCAGATTTAAGAAGTCAAACGTACCCCAATTAGGATGGACTGAGACACTTTATAATCAAATTGTCAAAAGTCAAAGACAGTTTTGAAAACAGCAAGAGAAAAGCAACTCGTCATGTACAATGATGCCCCCATAAGATTCTCCATGAATTTTTCAGCAGAAACCTTTCAGGACAGAAGAAAGTAAGGTGATATATTCAGAGTGCTGAAAGAATAAAAGAAAAAAACTGCCAGTCAAAAATACTGTATTTGGCATAACTATTCTTCAGAAGTGAGGGAGGGATTAAGACATTCCCAGATAAAAGCTGAGAGAAGTTATTACCACTAGACCTGCCTGACAAGAAATGCTAAAGGGAATCCTTCAAATTGAAACAAAAGAATGCTGGTTAGCAACAAGGAAGTATATAAAGGTATAAAGCTCACTGGTAAAGGTATAAACAGACACAAAATACTGTAATGTGTGTATATGTAATCCCTTTTAACTGATACAGAATTTAAAAGACAAAAGTATAAAAAATGACTATAGAAATATATTAATGGTTACACAATATAAAAAAGATGTAATTTGTGGCATCAATAACAGGGAGGATAAAAGTTTTTGTATGTAATTAAAGTTATCAGCTTAAAATAGATTGTTATAAATATACACAGGAGAAAGTGAGAAAGGAATCAAAACCTGTCACTACAAAAAAATGAATGAAACACAAAGGAGGACAGCAAGAGAGGAAAAGAGATAAATAGGCTACAGGACAGAGAACAACACAATGGCAATAATAAGTTCTTCCTTATCAGTAATACTTTAGTTGTAAATGGATTAAACTCCCCAGTCAAAAGACAGAGTGGCTGAATGGATTTTTAAAAAGAAATAAGATCCTTATCTAAAAAAGATGCACTTTATATTTAAGGACACACACACAGGCTGAAAGTGAAAGTTAGGCAAAATGATATTTCACGTAAATGGTAAACAGAAGAGGGCTGGGGTGGCCATACTTATACAAAATTGTCTTTAAATCAAAAACTGTCACAAGAGACAATAATATTATATAATAAAACGGTCAATTCACCAGGAAGGTATAACAAGGATAAATACATATGCACCCAACATCAGAGTGTCCAAACATGAATGGAGAAATAGGCAGTAACACAACAATAGTAGATTTCTGTACTCCACTTTCAATGATAGATGAACAGGCAGATCAGTAAGTAAATAGAGGGCCTTACAAACACTATAGACCAAATGGACCTACAGAAACAACAGACTTTTACAGAGCATTCCACCCAGCTAGAGCAAAAGACATGTTCTTCTCAAGCGTACATTCTATGAGGCCAGCATCACCCTAATACCAATGCCAGACAGCGATGCCACAAGAAACAAAAACTATAGACCAATATCCCTAATGAATGTAGATGCAGAACTCCTCAACAGAATACTGGAAAACTGAATTTGACTACATAGTAAAGGGATCATATACCACAACCAAATGGGATTTATCCCTGGGGTGCAAGGATGGTTCAACAAAAATCAGTGTGCTATATACCACATTAACAGGAGGAAGAATAAAAATAATAGATGGAGAAAGAGCATATTTGACAAAATTCAACATCGTTTCATAATAACACTCAACCACTAGGCATTCCTTTTTTTTTTTTTTTAGCTAGCCATCCTGCCATCTGTTGGCAGCTCAGCTCTGGCTGTGAATTGAACCGGCGACCCTGTTGCTCAGTTAGCACTCTTGAGCAAGCTCTTAACCAACTGAGCCACTCAGCCGGCCTTCAACAAACTAGGAATAGAAGGAAATTACCTCAACATAATAAAGGCCATATATGAAAAGGCCACAGCTAACATACTCAATGGGGAAAAACTAATAACTTCTCGAGCCGGCCAAGTGGCGCAATGGTTAAGAACTGGCTTGGGACGCCAGAGGGCCCCGGTTCGGATCCCAC